TTGTCTGCGTAATTGAACTATCATATTTGTAATTAAAGATTTCCATTCTTAAAAAGGTGTTTCACGCACATATGCCTGGATTAATCACACACACACGTTCAGATTACCGGAAATAACACTCGCATTACGGGGACTGTTAGGCTTGATGTGTATTTAGTAGGAAATTAAATATGCGACTAGTGTTTGCTCTCAGTGTTTGAGCTGAAAAGCAAACACATTTGTCCCATTCTGGCTAGAACAGTATCTCTGTCTCTAATCTCTTGTAGACTGGAGACTTGCTTGCTCCGTACAGCCATCTATCATTCCATAGCACTTATCCAGTGGAGAGTTCATAGCGGAAAGCTCAGGGGACAGGGCGGTGGGGGGGCACCCTGGTGGGATTCCAGTGATTTGTGCTGTTTAATAGCGACGTGTATCTCAGAGGGTTAGGAAACTATGCCAGGATGGTCTTATCCCCCCCCCCAGCTGCCCCAGGGACGCGGTGCAGACCCTTACTATGGACAAAGTTAAGGTTAATTATTATATTTACCAAAAATGTTCATGGACCAACATGCATTTAGTTGGAACCACATAGTTACATAGCTAAAAGAATTCAAAGTCTTTGTTACTACAAAGAAATATATATAACTGACTAATTAATTGACCTAAATCTTATCATTTCTGTAAAGGAGGGAGAGGTCGTGTATATTCTGGGGGGGGGGGGGGTCCAATTTCAGCTTCACCTGTATCTTATTCCCAGTCATCATGCAGGATTTTGTTTGATTTCTCTTGCCCCAGAAACCACACTCTGCCGCTCAAACCGGGCGCCTGGTGCAGCCCAGTATATAACCCAACGCCCTTTTGGTTTTTGCATATGTTTTAAACCCCACCATTGCCAATATGGCCGCCATCTCCACAAAACACCCCAACCGCTGGCAGCCAGTGCCAGTCTCAGGCTGCATGCCATTTCCACCATTCTGCTAAGAGTCTGTTACACTCGTCAGAAGAACAAACTTAAACTCCGATTACAGCGGCTTGACTGAAGAAAATAAACGAGGATTATTTATAGATAGGCCGCTTTCACCGTAAGATGTGATTTCGCTGGCGATATTGAAGCTGCATTTTACTTATTCATCTGCGGCGATTTACCACTGCATTAAGCCATTTATTTCTGCTCTCAGGCGTGTCATGAATAAACGTTTCAGGAGGATCACGACACTTTAAGGATAATAATCTCGGGCTGACACTCATCTTCTCCTAATGCAAGTAAGCGAGTTCCATATACACACTCCTCAAACACAGGACCATCCCCCATTCTAATTAGACAGCCTGACTGGGAAGACGACATCAGCTGGTCACTCCTGTCTCTGGTGGATTTCAAGTTAAAAACATTATGTAACGACACAAGTTTGATGTTGACATGAAGAGTCTGATTTGAGATATTTTCTGCGCTATCAAATTACAAAGTAGCCTATACTATTTTAGTGTTATTAAGACATTGAATGCTTTAAAAATAGATGTATATCATGGATATGCACCTCATTAGAACAAATGAAGTGTTTAAAAAGTCCTAATTACACACTTTTGTTTATCAGGATGTGATTAAGGACATCAGTAAGATTCGTCACAGCCTGAAGGATTCTGCGTGTCACCTTGCAAAGCCGATGTTTACATCAACCTCATTAAGAGCGGCGCAAAAAACACTTCTGTCCTGTAAAATTATCCCGGATGTCACCGTGGCGGCCTGTCGCGAGCTGAGAAACACAGCTCTGTGACCAGGCGCTCAACTGCAAGATGGTGTCTGGACAGGAAATCCAAGTCCAAGTGGAGTCACATGACAGGAAGCACAAGAACAAGTGGAGTCACATGACAGGAAGCACAAGAACAAGTGGAGTCATGTGACAGGAAGCTGGGAAACAAAAGCAACAAGGGCAGGTGAGTCTGGTACCAAAGCCTCCTCTTTCTATTGGGAGAGATGTTTACTGATTCAAACCATGATCAGGGTACTATAAGACCTAGCTTTCTTTGCACACGATGAGAAGGAGCCTTGATCTGTATCCTCTAAAACACTGCAGAAATTCAAAAATTCAGCCTAAATGAAAATCCAGAACCCATCCACAGAGACCATGAAATTGTTGTATAGTGGCACTCCTGTAGCTCAACAAATAGCACTTTGTGCTAGCAATGCAAAGGGCATGGGTTCAAATCCCAAAGCACACATAAATTATAACAATTTCCTCTGCTGTTAGTTGCTTTTGATAAAAGTGTCAGATAAATGGGTTAAACTTAAGAAGTAGTTTCAGTGTTTGATCTATCAGAAAAACTCCGTTAAACCATCATTTCACTTTGTCTCAGACAGAGACAGCTTCGAACAGTACTGCAGAAAACGGGCAAATGAGGCACGGTTTGGTGTCCAGGTACTAATGAAAGCCTCCATGGTGCTCGTTAGCTAGCTTGCCAATCACCTCACGCATCCACGCGTCCCTGAGTGCCACCCCCCCCCCCACTCCAAGCGGTCTGTCTCGGGACACGGAGGAGGGATGTGCCAGGAGCGTGCCGTGCCATCACCTAACATCCCCAAACTTGACAGCTGCCCGTCTCCTGCTATGCGCATCGGCTGCAGGAAATGCACTGACTCACACCGCTGCATGCAGCCAGGGCTGCANCCCCCCCCCCCCCCCATGTGAGGTCCGTGGCCTCATGGTTTCTCATATCAAATGAGAACCAGCTGACAGCATGGGACTCAATTATTCACTTTTGGTATTTTTCAAAGGTAATTAACACAGGCGACTCCATAAATAAAGCACTGATTTCTTTTTTGTTTTTCTTTAAAATAACAATTAGGCTGATCACACTAAAATAAAGTCTAATCACAGGCAACTGTCCCGTAATCGCCCACCAACATAAATGCATGTAATTTGCTATTTAACCCAACAGTCATCAGCTTGTACAGCATATACTGATATGTCCTTATGTGCAAAAAAGCCCAAAGATCCATCATAGTGAATACGTAATATTCCACGTAACACAGCTTAGTGTGTGTGTGTGGGGGGGGGGGGGGCGTTAGTGAGCCGTGTCCCAGAAGTTTTGGTGCCTTTATTTTCCTGGACATGTCACATCTTTCATTCCTCATCGTCATCGTCAGCCCACGTTTGTGCTTAAACTTGATTGAATCATCGATCGACATGGGGGGAAACAGTCAAGGAGGAGAGGGAACAGTACACAGCTAAATTTACAGTGTTGTCCTAAATTTCTGATTAAAGGCTGACAAAAAATATATTGATTCAGCCTTTGATTGATCATTTATGTCTGGTTAGTGCGGTTCCTTTGTGTAACACACTGAAATCTACAGGAGGGCCAGCAACTGCAGGGTAGATTCTAGCAAAGTGTGACCTCACTGTCCCCTGGTAAATAAGGCAGACCCCCCCCCCCCCCCCAGGCATGGGGGGTTCCCAAAACACGGGGAGGGAAAAAAAGGGGGGGGGGGGGGGGGGGGGGGGGGGGGGGGGGGGGGGGGGGGGGGGATGCCATCGACCAGGGTGGGGGGGTTAGCCACGCCCCTGGGCATGGGTGGGATAAAATCACTGTAAAATCACTGTAGCTAAATGATTTTTGATTTGTTGTAGGCAGATTTCTGGGACATAGAGCATCATTCACGGGTGTCAGGGAACTGCTGTCAATTTGCGGGAGATTCCCAGAACTTCCGGAAGAACTGGGAGGTCTGATAAGGATAAGCAAGTTATGGAAATATATATTTTAAAATTTTGTGTCTGTGTTGTCTTAACATTAGTTTTGAGTGTGTGTGTGTCTGTGTGTGTCTGGGTGCGTGATGCTTTATATGCTAGAAGGTTCCGCTGTATGTGAATTGCTGAAGCTTTACACACGCCAGGGATATTTAGAAAGTCAGGTTAACAGGCAAAGAGCAGCAGGTGTCTCAGTTTTGTCTGTTAACTACCCAGAATAAAACTGAGTGCACATAATTACAGTAAAAAGCTGCTCCGAGTAAGTAAAACCTTCTTAGTGAATGACACCACAAACTTAACTTCTAAAAGTGATTTGTATAAGTATCAGTATCGCAACAACCTTTACCCGTCCTTCTTGATTGCGAGTTAAATCAAAAACACTTCTTAAAAAGATTTTCAGATGAAGTGTTGACACTTGAGTCCCATAATAATTACAGGTTCGGTGCCAAGCAAAGGCAGAGGATGATCGACCCTGGGTCCTTTAGCCTGACTGACATGTTGGTCTGTGCGCCCTGGTCAATGAGACCTGCTTCTTGGTCGGCAGCTGTGGGTCTGTAGTTGGCTGATATTTACAGCCTTGACCATAATCAATCACCGGACTTGGGTAACGAAGCCCAGCTGACTCTGACTGGACTGACTGGCTCATTGGGGATTAAATGGTGTCGGCAGGATGGGGGTGTTTTCCTTGGCAAGTGCTTGGGGGGGGATTTTCCTTTGAGTTCGTGTATTTGGTTCATTCCACCCACTGTACTGCATTTTCTTATTCTGAAGCAGCCTGCATTTTCGTATCGTAATATTTGACGTGTAATGGCTGTAATAATAGTTGGTAACGCTTTACATTAACTGCACCATCATAATGCATAGAACATGTTTGTTTCAATCATATAGTGTTTGTTATTAATATATAATAAAGTTGTTAAGGTCTGTTAGGGTGTTAATGTATACTTACGTGCTGCTTATGAATGTTCTAGCATTATGAAGGTTCACTGAATGTTCTACGAATGCATTATACAGGCGTTATAAAGGTACAGTTAATAAAAAGCATTATAGTTCTATTTCATCAGTATAAAACATGAAGTGTGAATATATAAACCTCACATAGGAGATGAACATGCAAGGCTTTCAATAATGTTTTAGCTGCCTTTTCTACAGTTTTTAATTGTATTTTATGTTTTAGTTTACATCCCCATCCTTCAGTGGACACGCCAGCCCAGGTTCCTCGGCCCGCTTGCTCTCTGAAGCTCCTGGTTTGGCGGGTTGCCTTGGCGACGCACTCACCTCTGTAGAAGCAGCCCTCACCGCGGGCCACGGTGACCCTGCGCCGGCTGAGGCAGGCGGCGCGGTGCAGCTCGCAGTGGCTCATGTAGAGCTCGCCGTCGGAGCCGCACACGGGCTTGTAGTGAGGCCTGCAGCGTGCCACGCACTCGCAGCCGCCTCCTGCCCGCTCCGCCACGCAGCGCTGGCCCAGCCCGCAGTACGTGTTCTCGCACGACCCGGCAGGGCCATCGTGACCCGAGAGTCCTGTGGAAGGACAGGGGTGTTACCCAAGCGTCACATGACCTCCTCTACACATCACATGACCTATTCTTTGCATCACATGACCTGCTCTACACATCACAACCTACTCTATGCATCACATGACCTGCTCTACGTATCACGACTTACTCTATGCGTCACATGACCTGCAATGTAGTAGTGCCTCACTCTCATTAGTACCCACACTGCACAATGCACTACTACACTGTGCATTGTGTTTCCATATTGTGTATTTCATTGTGTATTTCAATTCAGATCCATTCACTCGTGTTCTGCTGGTAATTTACCACTGCTCCATACCAGTATTATACTGTCACTGGTATTTTACATATGTCTCACCAAAATGCCATTCGCACATGTTCTACAAAGCACAACGTCACTTTAAATCTTAAATTGAGTACATATTGTTTATTGGTATACATATTGTTTATTTGCAATTTATGTATCTGTTATATTTATGATTTGTTTATTTTTAGTTATCTGTTTTATTTAAACCAATACACATGTCTTAGGAGTGATTCAAGGGTACATTTCATTGCATGTTGGTCGTGTTTAACTATGCATGTGACAAGTAAAACTTCTTGAATCTTGAATATTGTCAATGAGATTTTTTTTCCATGTTTTGTCTCATCTAAACTAATTCTTCCTCTTTTGTGGCAATCTTTTTTAGTTCTTTTTAAGAAGTTTAAGTCTGAATAAATTCAAGGTTCAAAGGTGGCTATTGTCATTGTCTTACACACAACGAGATGAGGTCAGCGACTTCCCAAGCTGATGCAATCAAAAATACCAAGTAATGTGTACAAGAGGCAAACGGTAGGCAAAACAGGTTAACTACCTATTAAACAATATATACAGGTCGTAAAAGAAATACATTATAAAGAGACAGATTGTAAAGGACAGCAAAACAAAGTGCAGGAATGACAAGTGACAATTTATCACAGGTTATTGCACATTTTTGCAAAGGAATCCCCCAAATCTAACACTGCCTGGCCATGGGGTCCCATAGAACAATCCAGAAGAGAAATAAATGATGTCACAGTCTATTACATAGCTGATCGAGGTCACTGCTCATTTTTTATTTTTATTTTTTGCACAAAAGCCAGCTAGAGATCTAATGGCTCATGCTCTGGCACCATCAATCCCCGTTTCATTCCTCTGTCATTGTCCCCCGACACTCAAATGGACTTTTGATTATTTTCAGCTAGTAGAGGTGAGTCTGATATGAGCTACTCCGCTCCATCATGAAGTCCAAGTCTTCAGTATTTGCTATCCCGAAGTACCATTTGCATAATCGGGGACGCCGGTTTGCTCTGACTTTATATGAAATGTTTTAATTAACGAGTCCTCGTTTTTTCGCATGGGTGAATGATGATGGACACCTGAAGAGCCTGAACGGGCATTAAATTCTAAAGGAGCGCTTCAAATTAAATCTGCATTATTTCCGAGCCGCGGTCCAAGATGTACTTGTCCCTATAATTACCGCAAAGGAAGAGCACCGGCAAAAAATATAAAGAATTGGACGGATGAGTCACGCCGAGCGCTAAAATGACAGCTGGCCCCACGACATCTTCTTTATCGTTTCCGGGCATTATTTTTTTTCTTATCCTTGGGGCTGTGCTGAACATAATATCCGCAAGGATGGGAAGGAAACAAACGAAATTGCGGAGAACGACATGGAGACCCCTCCCCAGGTGACTGAACGGCGCTGCAGGAATCCGCCGTCACGCAAAGACGAAATGCTGGGAAATTTCAGGCGAATCTGCTATTAATGTTATGATGTTTTCATACATGCCGTGTTTTCTACAACCTGTCCTGAAATGACCAAAAATGATATGTGGTTAGAAGCATATGTCACACTTTTACCATAATACTATATCACAATTTAACTATCCAGCGAAATAAATGCAAATGCAGGGGAACTTCCGTAATTAAAAAGCATTCAAAGCAATGTGATGACATTCAACAAAACTGGAAGGTGTTTCCGATGAAAAGGATATTACAAATGAATTAAGGAAAGCTTCTAATGTGTCAGATTAATGCCCAGATTTCTTCCCAAGCAAGCTCGATGGGCCGAATAGCCTCCTCTCGTTTGTATAGTTCTTATGTTCTTGTTCTTTGTACTTTCTGAATTTATCATAAAGTTATTGAGCCGGCATGAGTATGTATTGCATAACAGTATTAAACACACTTTTCAAATGATGAGCATCTTCTTAAATTCAGAAAATGCAGGAAATATAATCAGATTGCATGCCCTTTTCGTGTTTATTCCGCAATAAATATATTCTGCATTTTCACATCTTCGCGTCTGAAGTTACTCTGGAACCACTGCACCCTAAAGCAGCTTTACAGTTTATTTAGTATTGAAATCAGTGTCTTTGCCTTGCAGCACGCAAGTCCAGCTACTTATCCCACTTCGATAAGTCTGGAGCAGGAGATCTCACTCAAGGATCGACGCTCCTGATGAACATCCGGCCAGCGGCCATGTTTACCACCACGGGCCCCCGAGTTTTGGCGCCCCCGGTCAGTCACTAAATCAATGCATTCCTTGCTCATGGGAGTTTTACTTACACAAACCGTTATGAGGGCACAAGGAAAAGTGATGGGTTCAGAGAGATAACCAATCACATTGTACAGTAGGTGGGTCCAAGCAACTTGTGACGGCAGGACCAACCAATCAGATGTCCTGGTCCCATATCCTCTAGTTGCTAGGACCCACTTCCTCTATTGAATATTGAATATTGAAGCAGCGTGTTCTGCTAGCCAGCTAGCTAGTTACAATCTTCTGACTCTACTTGTTTTACTCACTAGGTATTTATTTCCCAGAAATGGCAAAAAACAAACAAACAAACAAACAAACGCGTCCCTGCACACGGCCGGAGTAGTAAAAATATACCAACGCTTCAGCTGTCTGCATAGGGACCTTCACCCCAAAAGCCTTTACTTTCAGCTAATGGCATATTAGGAAGTTATTGTCGAAGCGGAAAAATATCTTGAGTGCTTCACTTCACATCTGTAATGGGCATCTCATCGCTAAAAGATGTCTCTTGTAGCTGAGGATTCTCCTGGGGAATGTCGGATATTTCTTTTTCTATTATCATAAATTTTGCAAAGTATCTTACGGTAATTTCATTTCAATATGTGAGGCACTCGGAGGGGTCGCCAAACCCCCGTAGAGATATTTTCAAATTCAAATGAACCGTTTGTGTGATTTGTGGGAAAAAAAAACGAAAAATACTCTGATGGGAATCTTTCTGTCGATGTGACCTTGTTTTTATCCTGAAGAAACCTACAATCTGACTCCCCAAAGTTACCACGAAATTGTGTTATTTCAGTGCATATAAATTTAATTAAGTTTAAACTAATCTGCTAAATGCTGTAAACCAATATTGAGAACAGTAACATATGTTCACCGTAGGAGGACTGAGTTATGTGAGTAAAATAGCAGCAAGTGTAGGATTTATGTGTGTGGTGACTGTCAGGGCTGAACATCATAGGACCAAAAAGATGGTATTCTGCGTTTCCTTAACGCAGTAAAATATGCACTGCCGCATTAAGAATCAAGCGCATTCAGTACCGGTTTCTAAATCCATACCCTCATTTCTTGCAGTGATTAAAACATAGAAGCTTTGCTGAGAGTCAGGAATCGACATTCTTGCGAAAGCAATATGGATGGATGTGCACTTAATCAATCGAAATGCACAAGGAGGTCCAAGTGACCGTCAGAGATGAATGACTAATTTGGTTGCAATGATTCGTCGTCCACAGTCACAGCTTCGGAATGAGAAAAGGACCGAGTGACGATGGCAGGACTGTCCTGAATTTCTATACTGGGCGTCTGTGTCATGTGCTTCTGCTAATCATGGTCGATTGCATACTTGGTGACGTGCTGCTGTTTACCAAAGGAGTGTCTGATCACTTACTGCTCCATGAGAAGGGCCACAGAGCAGCGTTTAAGCCACATCTCCCAGCCAGGGCTGGCTTTGTCGTTTCGGGGGCCCCACTCAAAGACTCAACCCCACCCCCAGACATTTTAAAAGCTAAATAAATAGAAGCAAGTGTAGTCAGAAGATCCTAGCGTGCTAGCTGGTTTGCAGAACATGCTGTTTCAGCATCTCCTAAATCAGGAGCGTGATCATATAATATGTAGTGTAGTGACTGTTTGTGGCCAGCAGGGGGCCCAGTGGCTTGAGTAATAGTAAACACCACCTCTGCGGTCAGTTTGACAGCACAGTCATCTCTTGTTTGTTTCAGCTAGTGTCTTTTTTTTTGTGTGTGACATTTATTTTGTTACCGGTAGTGTCCCCTGACCAGATGCCTAAAATTAACTCCAGTACTCACTGGATGAAGGTTTTCTCGCTGCTCCTTGAACAATGTCTGCCTTTTAATAGGGCACCTGCCCCCAAGCAGCTGCTCTGAAACCTGACAAGCGCCCCCCGCCCCTGCCGGTAGCCTGAGCGTAAGGCCCATGGGTAGGGAACAGGCTTACAAACAATGGTGGGTGGGGTGGACAGAGGAAGGGGGTGGGTAGGATGCCCCCAGAAGCTCTGCATTCAAGAAGGAGGCAAACAAGTACCTGTACAGTAAACAGAATTTAACTGGGAATCACCTTTATTATAGTTATTAGTGTTTATTAATCAGTGGTGGTTGTTAAGAGGAGTAATTTGTGTATGATTTCAACATTATTGTTATGCAGAAGAGGAATATATTCAATTTGCATCTGCTAAGCTTTTGGCAAACTATCGTTCAGATATGCACAATTAAAAATAAATCTCTGTACTTTGAATTACCGTTTGATCCACGGCTTTTCCTGGGAAACGGTATTCAGTCCAAATGCTTGGAAGCCGAGTCCAACAATCCCTGCTCAGGTGGGCATAGAGATGAAGTCCAACGGAAGTGAGCGATCACCCAAAGATCGGTGTGGCTGCTGGGCCAAGAGCCTTAATGCCCAGATACCAGCTCCAGTACATAGGATCTACCAGACCTTG